CCCCCTGCTCAGGCAGGAAACCCTATACCATTTCGGACAAATGGCTGTCCAGTCTCTTCTTAAAAACTTCCAGTGTTGGAGCATTCACCACTTCTGGAGGCAGGTTGTTCCACTGGTTAATTGTTCTAACTGTCAGGAAGTTTCTCCTTAGTTCTAAGTTGCTTCTCTCCTTGATTAGTTTCCATCCGTTGCTTCTTGTTCTGCCTTCAGGCGCCTTGGAGAATAGCTTGACTCCCTCTTCTTTATGGCAGCCCCTGAGATATTGGAATACTGCTATCATGTCCGCCCTCGTCCTTCTCTTCGTTAAACTAGACATACCCAATTCCAGCAGCCTTTCCTTATGTGCTTTGACCTCCATTACTTTGGACTAATTCTATGGGAGAGGAATGGGTTTGAAGAGAGTTGAAGGAACAAGCAATGCCCAGTGTTACTAACATGATGGTAGAGCATGCCTTATCTCAGCTAGTTCATCTCTGTCATGCCTCCAGCTGGAGCCTGAGGGAGAGGTGTCTGTGGCTTGAGAGGAATGTGGGGAAGAGGAGGCCAGAGCCCTTCAGGATTGGGACAGGATGAACATGAGAGAAAGAGCTCAGGCGATGAGCAAGGGCCAGCCCCTCCTGATCCTAGAGCATGGAGAGCGGAGAGAAGGAGGGAACAACAACGCAAGCAGGTTCAACTACTCAGGAGAGCACCCCACCCATCTCCACAGGGCACACCTGGACACTGAGACTGAAGGAGCCACTGTGGGGAGGGGCATTTGTTGTGAACAAACACTGATTTCTTGGAGTTGTGTGTGCTGTTGCTGATCTTGGAAGCAACTCTCTGATATCTCTTGTTCGGTGTTGTGATTTCTGCTTGGAAACCCTGAAACTCTGACCATTGGACTGGCTGACAGACTTGATTTGGTGTTCAAAGACCTCAGATTGCATTTTGACTTCTCTTCTGAAACTGCTCAGGCAAGCTTGTGTTTCCACAGACTCGTTAGAGTTTGGGTGTATGTTGTGTAAATTACTCTTCTAATCTAACTATATGTGAAACTTGCAGCCAGAGGCTGCTGGAGGTGTGTGTGTCTTACTTTGTTCTGGGGCTTGCCAGAGACATGAGAGCATTTGGGGAAAATTTGGAGCAATTAAAGGGGCGGTTTGAGTTGTCAGCTGACGACATTGCCTCTGTGCTGTGCCCTGGGTCATCACAATCTCAGTGGGTTTGGGCCACTGATTTATGAATTGCATTGCCTTTTCCTCAATAAAATTATTTCCTGGGCCGTGCCTGCTGCTTACAGACTTTTTAGAAGGAGAAGAATCGACACGCATCTCACCATCCAGCTTAAGTGTTCTTTGACATGCTAAACGTGATAATAAATCCATTTCTAATCTCTTCCTTCCCTGAAGAACCAACTCTAAAGATACTGTTCAGCCATGAAGATGTTATTCATCAAAGGCCAGTGGCTGAAGTCCATCTGGAGCAGCAGAAAACTTGGTGGATTGGTCCCCCAAGCCATGAAGATCTTTACTTCTCTCGACCTTTCCGAGTTTGAAGCCATTAACCGAGGGGACAAAGAGGTGCCGAAGTATTTTAATTTTGCAAATGACGTGCTGGATAAATGGTCTAAAATTGAAAAGGTAAGATTCCTTCCAAGGAACTTTAGGGGGAAAAAAGGGGTGTTCCTGATTGATGTGTGTGTCCCCATATCTCATTTTTTTTCTCTTTCAACTAATTAAAGAGAAATGAAGCATCGTACCAGATTGAGACCCAATCTTTTGTGGGCCCCAAATTTTAAGCAAATCGTGTATTTTTATTTTTTATTTTTATTTTTTAAAAAAAAGAAGTATTAAGAGAGGGGACCATAGAAGAAAATATTGTTTCGAACTCCGTTCCCTTGTGCAGTTCAAGGACAGTGCATGAATTTAGGCAGATGTAAATTTGGAAATTAGAAGTATAATCCGGGTCTCGCCACTTACCCTGTTAACCTGCATATTTGCTTTTTATTTATTTTATTTTTATTAAATTCGTTTGCTGCCCGTCTTGCCACAAGGCGACTCTGGGAGACTCACAATATTAAAATGAAACCATTTTACTCAATTGATATAATGAGAACTGTATTAGTTCAAATATGAGACAGTAGATATTAAGGGAAAAAGAGAGGAAATATTTGAGGTGGTACCTTGAGATTTGTACTAACGATTTTTGTATGCTACTGAATTATCGATTAACCCAGCCACCACGCTGCTTTTTAAATACTTAAATGTAAAATTAGAAAATTAATACAACACTACAAAAAATAATAATGAAACCATAAATATATGTCTGGAATGCTATAGGGTTTCCTGCCTGAGCAGGGGGTTCAAGTAACAGGCAATGTAGAAATAAATATTACATACTAGCTGTACCCGGCCACGCGTTGCTGCGGCTCAGTCTGGTTAAATGAAAAAGAAAGAAAAGAGAAAGTGCACGTTTGTAATATGTTTAATTTCACAATGCTTGTGGGCATACAATATTTTTTGTTGTTCCATTGTCTGTGCAGATATAGAGAGTCTGGTTTGCATGTTTTTACCTGTCACAGGTGTGACATCTATATAATAGTAGGTATATAAAAACAGACGCGTATTCGAATGCAACATTGTGTCAAAATTTCAAAGCAATCGGTGAAGAACGTTCGGAGATTTAAGATTTTGAACAAACGAACATTTACATTTTTATTTATATAGATACACATAATACACGTACACAGTTATACACACAATAGATACGCCTTAATATACACGTAAGGGGAAGAAATAAGAAAATAAGAGACAAACAGGAGAATATGAAAATATTTTCCTTTAGGAAGAACGGAGAAGGAGAAGAAATAAGAAAATAAAAACAACTGGATCCTAAAAATCTACGCCCTGCTCACTAGAATTTTCTTCGGTTTCTCTAAAATATTTTTTTATTTTATTATTATTTTATTATTTATTGAATTTATATCCCGCCCTTCTCCTTGCGGACTCAGGGCGGCTGACAATCAATTAAAAATACACCAATAACAATTACAAAATTTCTCTTGTGGTTTTTACTTTTTATTTATTATTTTATTTAAAACCTTTATATGCAGAAGCTGCTCATCTTCTAATCAACTCTGGGCAACTCCCAAACAAGAGGGTTTTTTAAAAAAAAAACACCATATAAAATAATATTAAAACTATAAAACCAAACAGATGAAAACAAATTGTAAGGGAAGAAGTTAGAAGAAGTTGGATGGTCTATAGGTCTTGAAACTTCGGTTGTTACTAGGCAAGACCTCCTTCTGTTTTCAGAAGACTTTAAAATAATCTCGGTCGGACAAAAAGAGATAAAAGGAAAGAGTAATATTCTTGACTTCTGCATCCGAAAACCAACTGATGAGGTTAGCTCTCTGTGTTGTGTCGTCTGGTTGGACCTCCCCAGATCATCTTCCTTAATGTGGTGGAGGAATCAACAAGCATTGTCCCTTTCAATATTGTTTTTCAGAATGGAGAGAGAGCCTTCTATCCAGCTTTCTGGTGGATCGATGGAAAAGGAGGAGAAGTGAAATGGGACTTTGAAAAACTGGGCTTGGTCTCCAGGAAAGCGGCCAACGTACTCACGGGACCCTGTGGCCTGCAAAGAGGAGATCGGGTGATCCTCATTCTGCCTCGGATCCCAGAATGGTGGATGTTAACCGTGGCATGTATGAGAGCAGGTAAAAAAAAAAAAACCATCTACGCATAGGAAGACCTGTTCAGGTATGTCATAGCAATTGCTTCCATCCTTGAATAACAGAATAACAGAATTGGAAGGGACCTTGAAGGACTTCTAGTCCTGCTCAAGCAGAAGACCCTGTACCATTTTAGACAAATGGCTGTCCAATCTCTTCTTACAAATCTCCAGTGATGGAGCGACCACAACTTCTGAAAGAAAGTTATTCCACTGGCCGGGAAATTTCTCCTTAGTTCTAGGTTGCTTCTCTCCTTGATTAGTTTCCATCAATTGCTTTTTGTCCCAACTTCAGGTGCTTTGGGGAATAGCTTGACCCCCTCTTCAATTGGCAGCCCCTTAGATATTGAAACTCTGCTATCCGGTCACCTCCAGTCCTTCTTTTCATTAAACCAGAGATACCCAATTTAAGGCATGGACTTTCCATGTCCAGAAGAAAACCTAATGGTGAGAACAATCAACCAGTAGAACAGCTTGCCTTCAGAAGTTGTGGATGCTCCTACACTGGATCTCCTGCTTGAGCAGGGGGTTGGACTAGAAGACCTCCAAGGTTCCTTCCAACTCTGTTATTCTGTTACTTGTCACTGTCTTCAGTGTCCTGCCTCCAGGCTTCCCAAAAGTCAAAATAATGGATGTAGAAATGATGACCCAGAACCTCATCATCCATTCTTGCTTTTGGGATAGAACAAGGTGAATCCTTGTGAATGAGCAAAGTTGTAAGAACATCCTCAATGTTATGTATTTATTGACCTTGCCAGGGATCATCTCCATCCCGGGGACCCCACAGCTGACAGCTAAAGATATCCAGTATAGACTCCAGGTTTCCAAAGCGAAAGGCATCATCACAAATGATTCGTTGGCCCCTCTGGTGGAGACCATCTCTTCGGCATGTCCTTCTCTGCAAACCAAGTTGCTGATCTCCGAAAGCAGGCGAGAAGGATGGCAACATTTCAAGGAGCTGTTTGAGTAAGGCACAGTGAATAGCACCCACCATTGGGAAGTGTGTTAGGCACTCGGTAACCATAGCCTTTTAAAAGGGAGCAACGCCTTTTGGCTAAATGACTGCCCAGAAGGACGAATGCAACAAACCTGCACGCCCAGAGGGACAGACACTTTGAGATTGGTAGCCATTTTAATTTCTGAGCCATTTTAATATATACTAGCTGTACCCGGCCACGCGTTGTTGTGGCTCAGTCTGGTAAAAGCGTGTGTTGCTTTTACGTCCAACAGATGGTGCTGTTTTTCAAAAAAAGCATGTTTTTACCTGTCACAGGTGTGACATCTATATAATATAGGTATATAAAAACATGCGCGTATTCGAATGCAACGTTGTTTCAAAATTTCAAAGCAATCGGTGAAGAACTTTCGGAGATTTAAGATTTTGAACAAACGAACATTTACATTTTTATTTATATAGTTTTTTTCCATTCAACTGTGTCTGATTCTCGAGGCTGCCTGGACGAGTCCCTGAAATTTTTTTGGCAAGGAAAGTGAGTGGCCTGAGGTCACCCAGTTGGCTTTGTGCCTCAGGCAAGGAACTCAGGCTCCCCTGACCTCTAATTTCTAATCTCTCCCGATTTCTAATCTAACCACTACACCAAACTGGGTCTCTAAAATGAAGATAGATCTCTCCTTCACTTCTTTAAGAAAGAATGGGATAGAATCTAACAAAACAAAGGCCAAAACATTACTCTAGAATGCTATGGTTGATTGACTACATGCCATCAATTCATTGTTGGCTCTTAGCACCTATATAGGTTTTCTCCAGGATGGTCTATCCCTAACCTGCTCCTTTACTTCTTCCAATGGTGCCCACATTGTCACCGTAACTGAGTCTTTCCACCTTTTTGGTGGTTGTCTTCTCCTCCTCCTTCCTTCCACCGTTTCCACCATCAGGGTCTTCTCCAGAGAGCTGGGTCTTCACATAATGTGCCTATGTTTGGATAATTTGAACCCGGGTGTACTGTGAGAAATAAGGAAACAGATCTGGCAAGGGTAGATAGGCTCACACACCTGAGAAGGGGCAGGCGAGAGCGTTACATAGGAATCTCTGTTGTATTCCAGAATGTACCTGTTCAAAACAGTTTTAAAAAACCCGTCCTCCATAGTTGTTTACATCCCTGGAGCCACCTTTGAGTTCAGCTTCTCCATGGAACAGCAAGCGATAGAAATGCAAATTGTGAATGAAATGTTAAAGGTAGCAATTTTAAAGGTAGCAAATCTGTTTCCCAGGGAGAGGGGAAAAAAAAGCTATCGAAGACGCTCTGAGTGGTGGTGCGTTTTAAAATATTGTGAAAATAAAATAAAGCAGGTGCTTAAAACGAACAACACAGATCCTTTGTATTTGTAAGTGCCATGTTCCACTATCATTATGGGCCAGAGAGATATTTAAGTCTGCAAATGAAACACCTACCTGGGAGTAATTCTCAACACACAAAGTGAGGTTTTCTTTCAAGTCAACACATCTTAGACTCTGCTGTGAATTTCTGGCACATAATTACTTTATTCAGGCGAGGAATACAACAGGGAGCCTTGAGATAGACAACACTGAAGATAAAACATCCCTCTAGGAGTGGTATGATCAGTTAATCAGTTAACCTTGTTGGTCAATTAACCTTGTTGGTCAATTTACTTTTTTTAAGTGAAAGGAATGACTCTTCTTTCTGTTCCTTGCTGATGTCCTTCCTTGGGCCTCTTTCAGGGCAGCTCCTTCCAGCCACAATTGTGTTCAAACCCGGAGTGATGAACCAATGATTATATTCTTCACAAGTGGAACCACAGGATCTCCAAAGATGGTTGAACACTCTCAAACCAGCTTAGCCTTAGGCTTGGCTCTACCTGGAAGGTATCCTTCTTAATGTTCTTGTACGTCTTGAACTTGACCCCAACTAACCAGAATTTGGTCTTTTCTACCTGTCGGGGTTTCCTGAAAGGCCTCTGGAGAAGTGATGGCCCCAGATGACAACTGCCAACAAAGAACTGAGGACCTACAGAAAATTTAAGGCCACTTAAAATGAGGTGAGAATGAGTTTGTTTGAAGGGAATCCAGAATCCCACCCTGACTGTCTATATCTCACAGGTTTTGGCTGGACTTCAAACCTTCAGATGTCATGTGGAACATGTCCGATACTGGTTGGGTGAAGGCGTCTCTAGGGAGTATCTTCGGCCCTTGGCTACGAGGAACCAGTGTCTTCATACACAGCATGCCACAGTTTGACCCAAAGGAGGTTCTAAATGTAAGAATGATACATCCAATCTTTGGGGGAATGTACCAGTATTTTGACCTTTGACACCCTCAACCACCAACTCCTTCCTTGGTCCATCCGTCTGCTGCTTTAGACAGGAACACAGAGATGTATTTTGGAAGCTTGGAACTGACTTCCAACAGAGGTAGTGGGTCAACCATTAGTAACTGAGTTTAAACATGACTTGGGATAAAACACAGGTCTATCGTCCAACAAAAATAAAAAATAAAAAACCTCAAAGGGCAGAGTCGATGCAACATTAGGTCTTTTTCTGCCATCTGTTTTCTATGTTTCTATGTTTTATGAACCTAAAGTGAACAAGAATATCAACAGGTTTTTTTTTATGTGTCAAGACTAGATATGACACCTAGTATCCTGCTGGCTCTGAATTCCTTCATTATTGTCCCTGCTACATATTTATCATTTCTTCTTGATTTCTCCCAACTCCCATTATTTCTTGCTTTTAACCATGCCAGTGTTGTACTGCTGGATTTGTAGATTATCATCATCATTATCATCATCATTATTATTATTATTAATCATCGCACAGTCAGCCAGATGTTCAGATTGGATTTGGCATTTTTATCTACCTATCCAGTCCTTACCAAGGACCTAGGATAGGCAGATGTGGATGTTTGATGGTATTACAGATACCGTCACAGGATGGAAGCAGTTCCCAGTAAGGCTGCCTTTTGCAATTGACTAATGGTGAATTTGTCAATGCCAATGGTGTTCAAGTGGTGCTCCAGTTGTTTTGAGATTGCACCCAAGGCGCCTATTACTATTAGTACTACCCTTTGCCACAGTCTTTCTATTTCTATTTGCAGGTCTTTGTATTTTGTTATCTTCTCCAGTTCTTTCTCGTCTATTTTGCTGTCTCCAGGCACTGCCGAGAAAGAACTGGAGAAGATAACAAAATACAAAGACCTACAAATAGAAATAGAAAGACTGTGGCAAAGGCAAGCAAGTATTATTATTATTATTATTATTATTATTATTATTATTATTATTATTATTATTATTATCATCATCATTATTAAATTTACTTGCCGCCTATCTCACCATGGGCTACTCCAGATCAGCAAAATCTAGAAAGTAATAGCTTCGCCAACCTTCAACCCAGGAAGAGCTTTAAAGAATGAGGAAGATGCAACTCCATCCTTTCATTTCTGTTTCTTCCTCCTTCCTTTTTTCTTCTCTCTAGACACTTTCCAAGTACCCAGTGACAACATTGTGCACTGCTCCAACAGCTTACCGCATGCTGGTGCAGGAGGATCTTAGCAGGTAGCTGGTTATCAGTTAACCCATCTGCATGATTGATTGATTGGTTGGTTGATTGATTTACTGTGAGGCCAAAGGAATCTGTAAAAATAAAACCTTCAAAGAGGTTGCTGCTAACATATTGTCTGGGTTCCAACATGTAACTTACTAATAGATATTAAGTTCCTTTCTCTCTACCTCGTTTTTCTAGCCGTTGATAAAAGATATCCCATATTCTAAAATAAACCGAATCTTCTTTCTCTTTCATTTTCAATGTCAATCTATCCATTTCTGCACAATCTTAAGATTTTTTTTAATTAACTCTTCCTCCGTTGGTAAATCTTCATTTTTCCAATGTTGAGCAAATACAATTCTTGCTACAGTTAATATATGTAGAATTAAATATATGCACTCTTTCTCATAATTTCTTACCTATTACGCCTAACAAAAATAATTCTGGCTTAAAATCTATATGTTTTTTTTAGTCATTTTCTCTAACCATGTATGTATTTTTAACTGGAATCTTTTAGCTTTAGTGCCTGGTTTTTGTTTACATTTCCAACAATTGCTTGATATATTTTTAGATATTTTTGCTAACCTCACCGGTGTTAAATGCCATCTATAAAATATTTTATATAAATTGTCTTTGCACGCTACCGCTTTTGTTATTTTAGAATTTCTATCCCAAAGGCTTTGCCAGTTTTCTAGTTGATGATGATGATAAAGTTGGAAGGGACCTTGGAGGTCATCTAGTCCAACCCCCTGCTCAGGCAGGAAACCCTATACCATTTCGGACAAATGGCTGTCCAGTTTTTTCTTAAAAACTTCCAGTGTTGGCGCATTCACCGCTTCTGGAGGCAGGTTGTTCCACTGGTTAATTGTTCTAACTGTTCTATGTTCTATGTTATGTCCAAAATTCTTTGCCCATGTTAAAGGACTACCTATGTATTTCTGTCAGCAATTTCTTCCTTTGTCCCTCTTCAGGAAAACTTCAATTGCCCTTTGTACTAGTGGTTTATTTTCCCACTGGATTTTTTTTAAATTTTGAGTTCCTTTTTTAACTGACGAAGATGATTAGATTAGATTAGATTAGATTAGATTGCCTTTATTGTCATTTTTTTTATTGTGGGCACAATAGCACACATTAAAAATGAAATTTAGTTGCTTGCTCTCAAAGTGTAAGAGTATCACTTCTGAGCCTAATCCAATCTAAAAGCAACCCCAAAACTATTTTTCCTGCTTTTTGTATCTCTCTTCTTCTCTCGCTAACTTTCTTAACTTCTGTTTGTGTTTTATTTTATAATAAACTTTAATTTAAAAAAAATTAAAGTGAAAAGGGAAGTGAAAATCTATACAAGCCCAGAAAGACAGAGGCAGAAGTGCCAAGCAGCTAAAATTTGCAGGACAGGCTCTTAGTACACACAGCTTTGTCTAGCAACACCGCCCAAGGCTGTCTCTGATTAGAATTTAAAAGCAGCCACCTCCACCTGCCAATAAAGAAGAATATTTGTAGCGCACCCAATGCTGATGATGTTACCTAGTTGGGTAATGAAACGTCTGCAAGAAAACTACCAAGCTCAGAGAGCACTGAGGACCCCACAGTCCTCCTCCTCCTCCTCCTCTTCCACAACCCCGATTCCCTTCTAGCACTGATGATGTTACCTAGTTGGGTAATGAAACGTCTGCAAGAAAACAGCCAAGCTCAGAGACCACCAAATACCCCTCATTACCCCCTGCTTAATGATAGACACTCTGAATAACTATAGAAACCAATCTGTTTCTTCTTTTCCTCTGCATAAAGCTACAAATTCAAGAACCTGTCTCACTGTTTGACTGGAGGGGAACCAATGAACCCAGAAGTGGTGTCACAATGGAAGAAACAGACCGGGTTGCAAATCCACGAAGGCTATGGACAAACTGAAGTCGTATGTGCCTGATCATAAAAAGCTCCTTTCTCTTAACCAGGATTGTTAAGGGCCCAGTGGCTAAAGGGGGTTAAATTTAGGGCCGAGATTTTATTGATATTACTAGCTGTACCCAGCCACGCATTGCTGTGGCTCAGTCTGGTAAAAGCGTGTGTTGCTTTTACGTCCAACAGATGGCGCTGTTTTTCAAAAAAAAGCATGTTTTACCTGTCACAGGTGTGACATCTATATAATATAGATAATATATAAAAACATGCACGTATTCGAATGCAATGTTGTGTGAAAAGTTCAAAGCAATCGGTGGAGAACTTTCAGAGATTTAAGATTTTGAACAAACGAACATTTACATTTTTATTTATATAGAAGATTTTTAATGGCTGAGCCTCTATGCAGTCCGTCTTATTAACTCACAGCGCAAGAGGTATTGTCTGAACCAAGAAACTGGGTTAATTGATTAAACAGGGACAGTCTGTGGGGCGATCCCAACTTTACAGTAGAGGTATCAGCTGAAGGCCCTGGAGCTGCATGATAAAAATGTAATTGGGAGCACCGCTCAAGGTATCAAAAAAGATCATCACGTTTTAAGTTGAGGACTACCTGTATTTAATGACTGGGGAATAAATACCCTTTGGAGGTACAGATGTTGCATAGATCTTTAAACCAAATGTTTAAGAAGAACTGCAATTCCAGGAATATCCCAAATTGTTTGCTGCAGGGGATGGTAACGACCAACGAAAAAGGGAGACCAGTTAAACCAGGCTCCATGGGGACTGCATCCCCACCTTATGACGTCCAGGTAGGACCAGGTGGGATCAAGTTTGGAAGGTCTATTTAGCAGAGGAGGAAAACATGTATTTGTTGGGGGGATGGTTGTTTTGTTTTGTTTTTTTAGCTTCCCCACCAACTTCAACTAATAGAAGGCAAACAGCGGTAAGTAGGATCCGGCCAGGATAGGACTTGGATCTGAGAACCCAGGATAGTGATGGCGAACCTTTTAGGGACGGAGTGCCCAAAAACTGCCCCGCCCGCCTACTCCACCTGCCCCTGCTCCACACCCACTCCTCCCCCTGCTCTGCCCCGCCCACTCACAGGGCCACGCACCACCTCCACGGCCCGCCGCATATCGCCCAGGCATCCCTGTAGCGCCGTGGCAGTCACGCCCTTCACCCACACCCAGCAGCATCATCTACATGTCGGGGTGTGAAGGTAGAGTCTTGTCCTTGCTGCCTGGCTGCCATGTTCTTGGCTGGACTGCTCCACGCGGGCCGCGTCTGGGGATGACTCTCCAGGGGGGCTGCTAGTGAGGAGGGGGCCGCTGGGGGAGGCGGGGCTGGGGCAACGGCGCATGTGCCCACAGAGAGGGCTCTGAGTGCCGCCTCTGGCATGCGTGCCATAGGTTCGCCACCACTGACCCAGGACATCCCAGAGGCCGATCTGAGATAAATGAAAAAAGAAATGAAAAATATTTGAAATTAAAGTCGGAAGCCGGCTTCTCTATCCTTGCCAAGAAAATGATAGGAACAGGCCCCCAAAGTCAGCAGGATTTTGGCTCCTTTGCTTCTCCTTAACCCTAACTCTTCCTTCAACTTCCTTGCCTTTTTTTCTAGATTGTAGATGAAGAAAGTAAGATTTTGCCCCCCGGACAAGAAGGAGACATCGCTATCAGGATAAAACCCAAACGCCCCTTTAGCTTCTTCTCTCGCTACGTGGTAAGCCCGTAGCCTGATGCGTCAATCTGAATCCAACCAAAATCTTGACGTCCTTCACTCAATTAGCACGGAAGTAACACAAACATTAGCTCTAAATTGGATTGTGGACACTGGAGAAGGAAGACTTTGCTTCTTTCACAATCCTCCTGTTCCCATGTTCTGAATTAATACATGAACCTCATTTTGTTAATATCCAGGACTCCCCTGAAAAAAACTCAGCAGTTGTCCGGGGAAATTTCTACATCACTGGTGACCGAGGCTGGATGGACGAAGATGGCTATTTCTGGTTTATTGGAAGATCTGATGATGTCATCATCTCCTCTGGGTAGGTCCATCTCAACAGATCTTCAACAAAACACGCAAAGGTGGGAAAAGCATCACAAAGTCATCCTTAGCATCATTTTGGTCTTGAAGGAACCTGTTGAGCATTGATTTCCTTTAGATGTAAACGTTGGCCAACTCCTCCTTCGTGGTGACTTCTGCTAAACCCCACATAGCGAGTAAAGGTCAAGGAACCCAGATTTAGCCAGAGATCCCATAGAATTAGGGGTAAATAAGGAATCTGGGAAAGGAGAGGGGAATTGCTAACCCTGATTTATTCATTATTTCATTAACCTGATTATTAAAATACTAAAGGCAATATTGAAGTGGAGTCTTTGAAGATGTGAAATATTTCTTCTCAGTTCCTTCTTGCCACCTAGACTGAGTTTCTAAGACGATCAACTAACAGCCTCCGATCTTTTGATTGCTTATTTCTAATATTCTTTCGTTCCTTGTTCATTTTTTTTACATTTCCAATCCTGGTTTGGGGGATCTCTTTTGCCATCTAATCCGATCCAATCTTGCTCAGTTTTTTGAACTAAGGCAAGATCAGCTAAGGAGCAGCCCCCAAAACCAGGCAGTCAAATTGTGATTATATTTAAATATAGAAAATGTTGATTTTGTTCTGGGTCCCATCTGCCAAATGCCACTCCTATATTCAAAGTCATACGGGTGCCATTTAGACAATAATTTGGTTCCCTCTTCCCCAGATACCGCATTGGCCCTTTTGAAGTAGAAAGTGCTTTGATTGAACATCCAGCAGTGGTTGAATCAGCCGTTGTCAGCAGTCCGGATATAGTCCGAGGGGAGGTAATGAAGCTTTTGTATAAATCTGCAAATTAATTGTGGGTGTTCCAGCCTGGGAGGTTTTTAAGAAGAGACTGGATAACCGCTCGTCTGAAATGGTGTATAGGGTTTCCTGCCAGAGCAGGGGGTTGGACTAGAAGATCTCCAAGGACCCTTTTATTCTGTTCTGCCTGCTTAGGTGCTACTAGAAAAAGTTGGATCTAGACGTTGTATTTCTATTGCTTTAATTGTACTAGGTGCCTACTTAAGAGTCTGTCCTTGCACGATGCCTGGAATTTGCTTGAAGATCTGTGCAAACCCAAGTTTCCACCCGCTTAATAATAATAATAATAATAATAATAATAATAATAATAATAATAATAATAATAATAATAATAATAATAATAAAGTTGGAAGAGACCTTGGAGGTCATCTAGTCCAACTCCCTGCTCAGGCAGGAAACCCTATACCATTTCAGACAAATGGCTGTCCAGTCTCTTCTTAAAAACTTCCAGCGATGGAGCACCCACAATTTCTGGAGGCAGGTTGTTCCACTGGTTAATTGTTCTGACTGTCTGGAAATTTCTCCTTCGTTCTAGGTTGCTTCTCTCCTTGCTTAGTTTCCATCCGTTGCTTCTTGTCCTGCCTTCAGGCGCTTTGGAGAATAGCTTGACTCCCTCTTCTTTGTGGCAGCCCCTGAGATATTGGAAGACTGCTATCCTGTCCCCCCTCGTCCTTCTCTTTGTTAAACTAGACATACCCAATTCCAGGCGCTTTGGAGAACAGCTTGACTCCCTCTTCTTTGGGGCAGCCCCTGAGATACTGTTTTCATAAAGAACTTTGCTTTTCGTCTCTTGAAAAGCAGCCTTTACAGGCATGTTTTGTTTTCCAGGTAGTAAAAGCATTCGTGGTTTTGTCCCCCGGGTTCGCCTCACACAACCCAGAGAAACTAACCTGTGAGCTGCAGGACCACGTCAAGAAAGTGACAGCTCCCTACAAGTATCCCAGGAAGGTGAGTGTTATTGCAAGGCGATCCTGAATCATACAGAAGCCCGCTCTGGAGGAGGATCACAGAATAACAGAGCTGGGAGGGACCCTGGAGGTCTTCTAGTCCAACCCTCTGCTCAGACAGGAGACCCTATTTCAGACAAATGGTTGTCCAATCTCTTCCTAAAAATCTCCAGTGTTGGAGCACCCACAATTCTGGGAGGCAAGGAGATGTGTGAAATGTCCCCCCCCCCATGACCACTCCTCTTGGAGATTGTCACCTGCACAGAATTAATCCTGCAGCAGTGATACCCTTATCTTCTCCTGTCCCAATCTCTTTTTAAAAAAACCTTCAGTGATAAAGCAGCCGCAACTTCTGGTGGCAAGCAGTTCCAATGATTAATTGTTCTCCCCGGCGGGAAATTTCTCCTTAATTCTAGGTCGGTTCTCTCCCTGGTTAGTTTCCATCCGTTGCATCTTCTCCTGCCTTCAGGTTCTTTGGAGAATAGGTTGACCCCCTCCCTCTTCTTTGTGGCAGCCCCTCAAATATTGGAACGCTATTGTGTCACCCGTAGTCCTTTTCACGAAAGACCCTGCCGATTGGGAACTACTTCAATATCTCTAGCCTTAGGAAGGAAGTAGCTATGGTTCTTTTCTTTTCTTTTTCTCTTTTCAATTCCATAAGGTGGAATTCGTGCAGGCCCTGCCCAAGACGATCAGTGGCAAAATCAGAAGGAACGAACTGCGAAAACGGGAATGGGGTCAAATGTAGTTCCGCGTCAAGTCTCGGCATCCCGTCGCCGTTTGCAGAAAGATCCGCTGGCAGACTTCTGCGTGTCAAGGTTGCATTCCAAAAGCCGAAAGCCGAGCAGCTTCACCTGGGTCTGGCGAAGGGTGTAACTTCTGTGTAGCCTTCCCCAATTCCTCAAAATAAATAGGCCAATCGGTTTGAGAGGTCCTCGCTTTCTGAACCGGGGATCCTGGCGTGGAGTGAATCACTTACAAAGAGAGGGGCAGTTTAAAAAAAAAAAAAAAAAAGCAGAAGTAAAGAACATGTGTTAGCCAATCTGTTCCAAACCAAAAGGAGGTCAATTTAATAGAAAACGACGTACAAAAAAAGTAAGAACACACATACAAACTGGGAAATGTTATACCCCTGCAAAGATGTTATGCCGTGAACGTTTATTTTCAAACAAGGAATTCCTCCCAGAGATTTTTTGTCTGGGGGGTTGTTGTTTTTTCTTTAAAGATAGCAAAGGCCAATGTCTGCAGACTCCCCCATTTCCTCTCCTTGACACCCCCACAATAATTAGGAGTTTGAAGCATTAGCATGTCTTTCTAACCATGTAACTGCAAATAGAACATTTTTAAACAGAAGATGTTATTTTTTTCCCCCAAAGCTCCGCTCGGCTAATATTTTACAATTTGCTTCAGATAGTTAAGAAGATTCTCTACAAGCAGACCCATAAAAGTTCCTCTAAGCCAGAGGTAGGCAACCTTGGCTCTTTTATGACTCGTGGACTTCAACTCCCAGAATTCCTGACCCAGCAGGAATGGCTGGCTCAGGAATTCTGGGAGTTGAAGTCCACGAGTCATAAAAGAGCCAAGGTTGCCTACCCCTGCTCTAGGCTCAATGATGTTAAAAGAGCTACAGGAGAAACCTGAACATGTTTCCAAATCAGAAAAAGCACCAGAACGTTAGTCTACCTATTCTCCTAGACCGGGGATCGCCAAAACTGGCAACTTTTAAGACTTGTGGACTTCAACTCCCAGGATTCACGCTCGGCTGCTTGAGGAATTCTGGGAGTTGAAATCCACAGGTCTTAAAAGTTGCTAAGATTAGAGACCCCCGTCGCAGACTGAACGGCATCTGAAGAGGTGTTGTTTTGCCAGAGTGGTTGGAATACGAGACCCTCCAGGTCCACAGAGACGCCAGCTCAAGAGATGATCCCTTCTCCAGTCATGCTAGACTTCACATCAGGATGCTGGCAATGATCACACGAAAACCTGGCAGTAAACACCTGCCGTAATTTACTTGGGAAAATTATACGACTTGGAAACACCAAGTTGCCAAGGATGAAAAGTTAAAAACCACCTTGCAAAACTCTAAGAGTCTAGTTGACCTACTTACTCCTGAATAAGAAAACCTGGGAGTTTTTCGTCCTGATAATCAGAACAGAAAGAGGCAATTTTAAAACCTCCATTAATAACCCAACTGTTCTAGGATCAGCTGCTTCTACTCCCAACCTCAGGCATTGTTTAGGAATGATCCAACTCCCCCCACACACACACAACACCCCACCTCCCACCTCCGAATCCTGGCTGCATTTTTGCAGTTTTATGTTTAAAAAGGCGGAATGTTGGGCCAACACTCCAACTGGAAGAAAAGAAAGCCGAAACATGTTTGGCTGGTCAGCATCGTGTCTTTTAGTCCCAAGGACTCGTAAAAGGGTCAGGAAAAAGCTAGCCGTAGTTTGATCCAGCCACAATGATCTGTTTTGTCTGTAACACGAAACCCTAAGGCAGGGGTGTCCATCCTTGGCAGCATTAAAAACTATGGACTTCAACTTCCAGAATAGCTGACGGGGGGGGGGGGGGTTCTTAAAAGTTGCTGAGGCTGGACACCCCTGATCTACAGGTTGTGAAAATCGTGACTTGCGTCGGTCAGCTGGAAACCCCCCACCCCCACCCCAGTCCAGAATGACTACTACAAACAAGGCAGGAATGGTGGGGAAGAGACAGCCTTGAGACAAACCAACTGTGCTTTAGCCAAGTCACCTAGAGTCTTAAAAAAAGACAAGTTAAAAGCAAAACAAAAACAAACATCAACCCCTGGCTTAACAACCGGTCACCCATCCTGCAGATTTCCCTTTTTATTTCTCGGCTCTTTCATTCACGCTCCTAGTCCTCGTGATTGTCGTTGGCGGCGGTCTCTGTCTCGCCTTGGCGCTCGTTTTGGTTTTCCCTCTGTGCTCCGGGGGTGTCATTCTCAGGGGATGCTTTAGGAGCCTCTGGCTGCCCCTCCGTTTTGATTTTCACCACCTCCTGAAGGTTGTACTTTCGGAAGAGAACGTAGTCCTTCACCACACTCAAGCAGCAGATGTTCTTGATGATCTCCACCACGACGGTGTATTCGGGGTTACTCAGGTCGACCTTGTTTTCTGGGTTGAGCTGGCCCACAATGCCTGCAAGGCAGCGATGGGGAAAGAAGGGCGGGAATTATTGCCTTAAATTTAATTTCGTAACTAGAGAAATGATAGAGAGATGCTTTGTTTTATCGTCTTAAGGAGATTCTCAGTCATTCCAGGTCAGGGCTGTCCCAAGGATGCTTTTTTCAAAAAGGAACCAGACTTTGTTTTTCCTTGAAGATGTTTTGCTTCTCATCCAAGAAGCTCCTTCAGTTCTTCAGTCAGAACTGAAGAAGCTTCTTGGAAGAGAAGCGAACGTCTTCAAGGAAAAAACAAAGTCCAGTTGCCTTTTGAAATAAGCACTTTTGGGGTTTTTTGTAATGTTTTGTAAATTCTTATCTTTGTCTTTCCTCCCCCCCCCCCCCTCTGGTTCTATTGTTGAGTATTTTTAAAAAGAAAACCATGTAAAAACAGTGGCTTTATGGGGAGGAAGAGATTGCACTGGGTGTGTTCTTAGAAATAACTTTTGGATTGGTGATCTGCTCGAGGTTTGAGGTATTTTGGTGCTCTTTTCACACAAAATTGCATTCCGAGACAACCTGGTCTTCTTCGGGCATTTTAGACAAAACTTCCCATCAACCACAAGCATGGCCAACGGTCAGAAATTTTAGAATTTAACCATGAAATTCCCACCGAGTTTCTGAGCCATGCCTGGCTCTGTAAAACATCTCAAAGGCTACCCAAGCAACAGGGGAATAAAATGTCTGATTGTTGTGCATCGGGAAAAATGGACGATTTAAAGCAGAGGTAGGCAACCTTGGCTCTTTTATGACTCGTGGACTTCAACTCCCAGAGTTCCTGAGCCAGCCATGCTGAGGGGAAAGGGAGAGGCTTCCAAGCTGAGCCATGCTGGCTCAGGAATTCTGGGAGTTGAAGTCCACGAGTCATGAAGAGGCCAAAGTTTCCACCATGCCGGCTCAGGAATTCTGGGAGTTGAAGTCCACGAGTCATAAAAGAGCCAAGGTTGCCTACCCCTGGCCTAAAGGGATGAAGTGAGCGCATTTCGAGTCTCTGCAAGGCTCAAGGAAGCCATGTTGTCTTTTTTGAAAATCCACTCACCCCCCTGAAAAATCAAACAGAAATAGAAGCACTGATAAGCTCACTTCTGAAAGTGAGGATCTAGATGCAGTTTTTAGGGTGTCCTGGTTGAAGCCCATGTTAGATTGCAAAATACCCACAGGAACATAAAGCCTTTCATCCTAATTCTGAAACCACTGCACATCTGCCTTGGATGGAGATCTCCTCTAAAAGAGTTTGCCCTTTTGTTTACCTGCCAGCTCTTTTATGACTTCTTCCCTGCTGAGGTGGTTGTTATTTCGCGCCTTGTAAACTATCTGGAAAGTGCCCTTCTTGGGGCCTTTGAACCAGGGTTCGAAAAAGGTCTCTGAATACCGCTTCATGTCTTCGAGAAAGGCTTTGCAGGTCCCCGACACAGGCAGCATGCGCAAGATGACCCTGGTCTTCTTCTTTTTGGTGGCGTGCATGTCCTTCAGAATGTGGTGGACCAACTTCTCGGGTTCTGCAAGGGGACACGAAGGGAGGTGGCTTCAAGTGTGAGAAGCACAGTCCTTTGACGTGAAAAAAAACCAACTTTAAGTAGTCCTCCATTTATGACCACAATGGAGCCTGCATGCCATTATGGTCGTTAAGTCAGGGTGGTCATAAAGCTGGGCATCATGTGAATGGACCTGATTTTACTACCTTTTCTTGTGATGGTTGTTATGCCAATCCTCATGGGCATTAAGCAAATCTGCAGTCCTTAAACAAATGCTGCATTTGTTGAGCCAACTCACTACAGGGTGTTTTTTTTGCTGGCTAGGAATTGAACAACACAGGTTTTAAAATTGCCAAGGATGGACACCCCCTGCTTTAGATGTTTGGGTTATTTTTTATTCTAAGTCGTTTGGGCTCTTTTAGGGAGGGCGATGTGTAAATAAAATTAGGGATAAAACAAATCATAATCGTTTGATTGATAAACTCTTTGCCCACATACCAACACCCAGCGTTCGAATGAAAACCACGTTGTTAGCCCCGCTCTCCACCGACTGGAACCGACGCTGCTTCTGTTCCGTGGAGGTACGAATCTGATCCACTTCTTTTTTCAAAGCCGCTTCAGCATCATCTTCCTCCTCTTCTTCTTCCTCCTCCTCATTCCCAGAGAGCCTGTCCTCGTCTCGCTCTGCAAACTTAGCACAGGCAAAAGTACAGAGAGGTAGTCCTTGACTTATGACTATAAGGGAGGCCCAAATTTCCGTTGCTAAGCCAGACAGTTACGTGAGCTTCGTCCCATTTTACAACCATAGTTAAGTGAGTGACTGCAACTGTTAAATGAATGAAACTGTCATTAAGCAAATATCTGGCTTTCCCCCCCATTGACTTTGCTTGTCGAAAGCCGGTTGGGAAGGTTACAAGGGATGGTCACATGACTCAAGGGAAGTGCAACCTTCCTAAATATAAATATATAAGTAGAATAGAATAGAGCTGGAAGGGACCTTGGAGGTCTTCTAGTCCAGCCCTCCAGCTCAAGGAGGAGAACCTATACCACATATCTATCTATCTATCTATCTATCTATCTATCTATCTATCTATCTATCTATCTATCTATCTATCTATCATCTATCTATCTATCTATCTATCTATCTATCTATCATCTATGTCTGTCTGTCTGTCTGTCTATCCTGTCATTTCTCTGTCTGTCTGTCTGTCTGTCTGTCTGTCTATCTATCTATCTATCTATCTATCTATCTATCTAATCTATCCTGTCATTTCTCTATCTATCCTATATTTGAGATTATATACATATACATATATAAATTTTGATCACGTGACCCTGGGGATGCTGAAATGGTTGCAAGTGTGAAAACCAATCCTAAGTCACTCAATGCCGTTGTAACTCCGAACAGTCACGAAATGGGTGGTTGTAAGTCGAGGACTCCCTGTATTACAACACTTTTACCTCTTCCCACTTGAGGCACCCCTGGCTGAGGAATTCTGGGAGTTGAAGTCCACAAGTCATAAAAGGGCCAAGTCTGAAGACCCCTGCCCTAGAAAAACACCCGTCCCACCATCCCACAAGCAAGCAGAAAAGCAGGGGCTCTGCAAACGTCGTGGAACTACACTACCCAGCATCCCCACCGGCCCTTCGCTGAGCGGGAATCCTGGGAGTTGTGGTCCCGAGCATTCGAGGCGTCCCCGGGAGAGACAACCAGCCAGGCCGCGGCCTCACCTGCTCGGGCCCGTAGAGCTGCTCTCCGTACTCGCCCAGCAGGCTGTAGGCTTCAGCCACGCACTTGCGCTCGTTCATGTTGCAGGTGATCAGGATGCCGCACATGCCGGCCTCCAGCGGCTGCCGCCGCCCGCCCGGCCGGGCCCGCTTGGCCGCCTGCACGTACTGCCCTTTGGGCGGCCGTCGCTTGCGAGAAGCCGAGGCCCCCGCCGCCATCACCGGCGGCGTCTCCACGGCAGCCATGGTGAGGCGGAGGGTTGGCGCAGGCGCAGCAAGGTGCCACAACCCGGACGGCGGGCCTTGATGGCGTCATCCGACCGCGCCCGGAGCGGGTGGGTGGTGGTAAAGACCGCGGAGATAAGAAACGGTAGAGGGCGGCGTGACCATAGAGTCGGAGCGCAGAAATTCAAGAGAGGATGCTCAGCTGCCGTGGCTCCAACTAGTGGCCGTCCCGAGTTCTGCAGCCCAGATCTGATGTGGGACAGACAGGGATGCATTATTTGATACAAACGCCAGAAATGAACTCAAAAAGGACACTTTGTGCAATAAAACGAGAGAGAGAGAGAGAGAGATTAAAAGATAGAGAGATAGAAAGATGATAGATAGATGATAGATAGATTGATAGATGATAGATGAGATAGATAGCTAGATTGATTGATTGATTGATAGATGATAGATAGATAGATAGATAGATAGATAGATAGATAGATAGATAGATAGATAGATAGATAGATAGATAGATAGATAGATAGATAGATAGACAGATAGACAGGCAGACAGGCAGGCAGGCAGGCAGGCAGGCAGGCAGGCAGGCAGACAGATATGGAGAGAAAACAGGTAGACAGATATAGAATGAAAGAGAGAGCGCACAAATCCAAAAGAGGTTCACAAGGATAACAATTTATTTATAACGTTTATAATCCCTTCCTTACAAAGCAACATTCAACAGCAAAGCCAAGAAAAACTTAGAAAAATCCCTATTTGAATAAAGATATCTAAAAAGCATAGGCGGCCACAAAATTATAAGACACAACTATTTATCTTTATTTACGGTACGTGCAGTAAAAATCAAAGGAAAAGATGGAAATTTAAAAAAAGAAAAAAAAGCATGCAAAAAAAGAAAAAAAAACCAAACACACTAAGTTATGAAATCTAGGGGTATTTCTGGCTGTTTCTTCAACTGATAATTACAATCTTACTGTCTTCTAGATGAAGAAGCAAAGGTGAACAATATTTCTGCAGCCAGATTGTGCAGTAAGTGGAAGCATGCATGGTGAAAGTTAAAACAACCCAAAGAACCAACCAAGAAATTTACAGGATACTTTTCTGGAACAGTCCTTTATCAGAAAGGGCGTATGGTCTCTGTAGTCTTGCCCATAACCCTTTTCTCCAACCCTTTCCGTCCATTCTGCAATTTCTTTGCTACCTGGCCCTGGTGGAAGGTTCAAAATTGCTTCAGAGATGCTTGACCAGTTTTCCCCTTGTAGCAAAAATGCCTCTATGGGGTGTGACTTACTCTGTCCTTCACCCTTAGGGAAAAAAAACCCACGTCCTTCTCTGAACAGTTTCCAAGAGGATAAAAGAGGTTGTTTCCCAGAGAAGTTTGCTTTGGCTGGTGTAAGTTTTTATCTCTCTTTACCTGGCTGGGATTAGCTTCCTACAGCTCCTGTAAAGAGGTGGGGGCTAAGGGCAGCTGCTTTTCAAATCATCGAGAAAAGGGCATTCTTTGAAAAAAAATAAAATAACCAGAATCGGAATGGCAAGTACCTGTTGAATTTTCAAGGAGGTGAGAGAATAATAAAATCTAGCTCTTCGTGTTCAGAATTATTCTTATTGCAATTTTTTGGTATGCATTTGTGTCTTCGCTTATGCTTGTGGTTTTTGTGGGGCAGATCAAGCTGAGACCTACTTAGCAGGTGAAAGTCACTCAATGAACGTAGGACAGGAAAGATTTCAGTTTGGGTTTTCTGTCTTTCCAGATACACTAACTACACTAGACTCTGGATCAGAGAGGTAGAAATACCTTTCGTTGGCTGCGGATTGCATGGCTATTAAGAAGGAAATTGGTTTCCAAGATGGCATTTAACACTCTGTTGTTTTTCTTGGCTGCTTTTCTTGGCTGCTTTTCAGCACTTCTTACGTTTTAGATTAAAAATAACTTTTGTCCATTAAGCATCATATGCCTCGGTGCTGGCTGAGGAATTCTGGGAGTTGAACAATTAACCAGTGGAACAACCTGCCTCCAGAAGCGGTAAATGCTCCAACACTGGAAGTTTTTAAGAAGAGACTGGACAGCCATTTGTCTGAAATAGTATAGGGTTTCCTGCCTGAGCAGGGGGTTGGACTAGATGACCTCCAAGGTCCCTTCCAACTTTATTATTATTATTATTATAAGTCTTAAAGTTGCCAAGGTTGAGGACCCCTGATGTATTGGATGGTGTAATATTGGATTTAGTTTGAAGAAGCTTACAGAATTAGTAATGGACTCAGTAATAACGTTGTCTATTAAGGATTGTAAAAATAGAAAATTAATGAAATATTTATATCAAAAAGAGAGAGTACAAATAGTCCTTCACTTACGACCACAGCTGAATTTCCATTGTTAAGGCAAGGCAATTGTTACATGACTCACACCTTATTTTTCAACCTTTTTTTCCCAGTTTGTTCAGCGAAACATGGGCGTTGTAAAGCGAACCCAGGTCGTCAGCGAATCTGGCTTCTCCTTCTGACTTTCTCTATATCGGAAAGTCGCAAATGTTGATCACGTGACCCAGGGATGCTGCAACCGTTGGTTGCTAAGCACCCAAATTTTGAGCACCTGACTCTGGGGATGCTGCGATGGTCATAAATTGTGACGGCCAGTCGTAAGTCTCTTTCCCCCCCCCCCTTAGTGCCGCCAAAATTTAGAATGGCTGCTAAATGAATGATTTTAAGCCGAGGACTACCTACAACAGATAATCCCTTGTTGTGAGACCAGCAGCCAATTTCATAAATAAATAAAATAATCCGTAAGGCTGTGCCTAGCTACAAGATCACTGCTTGCAAACAATTAAATTAGAGCTTTAATACTTGATCTTTGCTGCAAATGAGTCTGGATTGCACAGTACAGAAATCTAGGCTGAGACTGGCAAGTTAATTCAGAGATGGGTGCAAAGAGAAATCTCAGTTCTGTCGATGTTGGACTACAAACCCTGTTATCTCTGAATCTGCCCTTTGTGGCTGACGGGGGGTGAGGGCTTTGGCAACAATAAGCCCTCACTTTCCATGTTATTACTGTGAAGCATGGACAGCGTAATCCTGTAACCTCCAAGCTACTTAAACAAGCTAACAGCTTGCAATTCCTCATCTTCTTGCGATCATTCTTGTTGGCACTAAGCTTTGGTTTGTTTTTTTTTTAATGTTGAAATTCTCAGGGAGTGTCAGAGTAGGGTACAAAACAAGATTAATTAAAAGCAGAACTGTACACGTCAAGGAAATGAAGTCTTGCTCTGCCCTGAGAAGGCTAAAAAAACAATCAGAACTTTTTTTCGTTCTGCGTTTCAGATAGGTGGTGATTGACAGAAAACAGGCGAGACAAAGAACCTCGGGAAGAAAAGATCATGGCTTGTGTCACCTTGACAATCAGGTGTCAAGGCCCAGCTGCGAGGATTCTGCGGTCTCTCTGCCTCGTTTCTTCCAGAAGCTTCAGCAAAGGCAAAACTGCCTCGGCGGCTCAGAATTTTACAGACTACAACTCCATTTGCGAGCAGTATAAGCCGGAGGTGCCGGAATATTTCAATTTTGCCAAAGATGTGGTGGATAACTGGGCTCAGTCAGAAAAGGTATCATTTCTCCCCCCCCCATCTTTTGCCCCAGTGATCACCTTTAAGGGATCCCCTGTTGGGGGAATACAGGTGGTCCTCGACTTAACGATCGTCATGAAATTGAGCCTGACATTTCTGTGGCTAAGTGAATCGCACCCTTTCTTGCTACAGCTCTTAAGTGAATCCCTGCAGTTAGTTGTTCAGAAGTCAACTCTTTCTCTCCCCAAAGGCCACGTTCATGTCCACGTTGTTGCACGTAGCTACTACACCCTGTGCAGAATGCGGCAGTTGCTCTCCAGATCTGAGCAGATCCACTCACGGCTGACTTCTCCCCCCCCCCCCGCCTTGTCCCCAGGAAGGAAGGCGCCTCTCCTGCCCTGCTCTTTGGTGGGTCAATGAGCAAGGGATCCAAGTGAAGTGGAGTTTTGAGGAGTTAGCCGCGGAGTCCAAAAAAGCCGCCACCCTGCTGTCTGAGCGGGGCGGCCTACGGAAAGGAGACCGCGTGGTGGTGATTCTCCCTCGCATTCCCGAATGGTGGCTCATGAACCTGGCTTGTATCCGAACAGGTGAGAAGGAACGATGTCCACCCATCCACCTGAGTTTTTGATAGAATGGAGGAGGAGATCCTTCTGGACAGGCAACCAGAACTTGTCTCTTTTCTGCTGGCATCAGCTAATACGTTGTACCGGTGTTTCTACTTTTAAGATGTGTGGATTTCAACTCCTGGTTGAGAAACATGGCATTATATATGTGTATATATGATATATGTGATTTTTCTACCCCACCCACCCACCCACCCTCTCACTTTTTCTCTCGCTCATCCTTGCTGCTCTCTGAACTTGGTTATTTTCTTGTGCAGACATTTCATTACCCAACTAGGCCACATCATCAGTACTAGAACTGGCGATGTTACTTGATGACCTAGTTATCTAGTTGGGTAATGAAACGTCTTCAAGCTCAGAGACCGGCAAGGACCTCACAATTCTCCACCTTCTCCTCCTTTCTCTTCTCTCCTTCTCGTCTTTCCTCCTGTTTTCTATTCCTCCTCCTCCCTCCTCCTCCTCCTCCTCTCCGCAATCCCCTCTCCCTTCTAGCACTGATGATGTTGTCTAGTTGGGTAATGAAATGTCTGCAAGCTCAGACACCAGCAAGGAGCCCAGTTCTCCACCTTCTCCTCCTTTCTCTTCTCTCCTCCTCCTCCTCCTCCTCCTCCTCCTCCTCCTCCTCCTTCTTCTTCTTCTTCTTCTTCTTCTTCTTTTTCTTCTTCTTCTTCTTCTTCTTCTTCTTCTTCTTCTTCTTCTTCTTCTTCTTCTTCTTCTTCTTCTTCTTCTTCTTCTTCTTCTTCNTTCCTTCTCCTCCTCCTCCTCCTCCTCCTCCTCCTCCTCCTCCTCCTCCTCCTCCTCCTCCCCACAAATCCCACTCCTTTCTAGTACTGATGATGTTATTTAGTTGGGTAATACAATGTCTTCAAGCTCAGAGACCAGCAAGGACCCCACAATGCTCCACCTTCTCCTCCTTTCTCTTCTTCTCCCCTTCTCTTCTTTCCTCCTGTTTTCTATTCCGCCTCCTCCCTCTTCTTCCTCTCCGCAATCCCCTCTCCCTTCTAGCACTGATGATGTTATTTAGTTGGGTCATGAAACGTCTGCAAGAAAACTAAGGAGAAATTTCCTGACAGTCAGAACAATTAACCAGTGGAACGACCTGCCTCCAGAAGCAGTGAATGCTCCAACACTGGAAGTTTTTACGAAAAGACTGGACAGCCATTTGTCTGACATGGTATAGGGTTTCCTGCCTGAGCAGGGGAGTTGGACCAGATGACCTCCGAGGTCCCTTCCAACTTTATTCTTATTAAAACAGTCAAGCTCAGAGAGCACCAAGGACCCCACAGTCCTTTTTCTTGTTCCGTTCTTTCACATTCAAAAGTTGGGTGGGAGATGGTGGAGGGTCTGATTCTCCTTGTGCCGTGTTTGAATGCCCAAAGCAATAAGAGGTTTCCTGATTTCTTCTCTTAGGAGCCGTGCTGATTCCTGGGACTACACAGCTGACAGCAAAAGATCTTCACCACCGCTTAGAGACTTCCAAAGCCAAGTGTGTCATCACGGACTCTGCCCTGGCCCCTGTGGTGGACGTGGTGGCTTCCAAATGCCCATCCCTGGAGCTGAAGTTCATGGTATCCAAGGAACCCAGGGAAGGCTGGCTAAGCTTCAGCAGTTTGATGGAGTAAGTAGCCAGGTTGGTAAAACGGAAGCATTCGTTTAAAACAGTGTTTCTCAACCTTAAGATGCGTGGACTACAACTCCCAGAATTCCCCAGCCAGCAGTGCCGAAACAATAAGATTGAAAAATGCAGGATGGACAGGGAGAGCCTGTTTGTTCCAGTGGCTAAGGCACCAGGGTAGAAACCGGGAGACCGGGAGTTCAAGTCCGGCCTTAGTCATGAAAGCCAGCTGGGTGACCTTGGACCAATCACCAGGAGACTGAGAGTTCTAGTTCTGCCTTAGCCGTGAAAGATAGATGGGTGACTTTGAGTCAATCACCAGGAGACTTGAGAGTTCTAGTTCTGCCTTAGCCGTGAAAGACAGCCGGGTGACCTTGGACCAAACACGAGGAGACTGAGAATTCTAGTCCTGCCTTAGCCATGAAAGCCATTTGGGGGACTTTGGACCAATCACCAGGAGACTGTGAGTTCTAGTTCCATCTTAAGCATAAAAGCCAGTTGGGTGACTTTGGGCCAGTCCCTCTCTCTCAGCCCAGCCCACCTCACAGGACTGTTGTGGTGGTGGGGAAAAGAAGAGATAAAATGTATTAGATATGTTTGCCGTCTTGAGTTGTTTATATAAAAAAAATAATGGCAGGATACAAATTAAAGAAATAACTGGTCCATTTTCTGGACTTGCATTCCTACGAAAGCTATTAGCATCACAAAGAAATTATAACGGGCATCCTGTTCAAATTATAACGGGCTTATGCACAATGTTTTACAGGACTGCATCTCCAGAGCATACTTGCGTGGCCACAAAAAGCAGCGACCCAATGGCTATATATTTCACCAGTGGCACAACGGGAGCCCCCAAAATGACTGAACATTCCCACGTCAGCCACGGAATCGGACTTGGCTTCAATGGAAGGTAGGGAAGAGCATTTGAGTTGCGGTGTCGTGCCTCAACGGATGCAGATCTGTTTGTCCAATTGTGACTCACGTGGTTTTGGCATGCTGGGTGATGTGAACGCAGCCCTTCTAGTTTCTAAAAGCAAACCATGGCTTAAAACAACCCATGTCATCAGCAGATCCTCCTAAAAACGTCTGCACCAGTTTTGAAATTAGTGTTTGCGTTTTCCAATAAGCCCGGTCATGATTTATCAGTGATCTACCAATTCAATCCCCAATGCAAAATCCAGCGAGTCTCACTCATTTTAATATACTTTCCTGTTATTTAGGTATTGGCTTGATTTGACTCCTTCAGACCTGATCTGGAACACTTCAGACACCGGCTGGGCAAAATCAGCGTGGAGCAGTGTTTTTGGTCCTTGGAGCCAAGGAGCGGGCGTGTTTGTCCATCACATGCCACGCTTTGATCCTAAACTTGTCCTTGAAGTAAGCATCAAGTATATTAATATTTAACCATTTCTAAAGAGATTAAATCATGGCAACTGGACCAAGGTTTATTTAACCATTAGAGGTACACAGTACCAGGTGCACAAGCAAAACAGTAGATTGTGAACTCACTTTTAACCGTTGTTTGTTAGCTTCCTTAACCATGTTTGGGGTGGCTTGCCATGAGCTGGTTGCATCTCCTTTTAAGGTTGCGTTGAGGCCACTGTGCATTCCATCATCTGTCTTTATCTTTTCTAATTATTTAGACGCTGTCCAAATTTCCAATCACGACTTTATGTTCTGCGCCAACTGTTTATCGGATGCTTGTCCAACATGATTTCAGCAGGTAAAGTGGTAATTGCCATTTGTAAAGTTAAGGCGTTTTGAGATGGGCTCCTTTAAACCACGATTAGATGATTGGGAACAAGCCCCATGGAAGCCTCAGCTGGATTCACCCATCACCTGATGCCCTATTGTGGTGGGTTGAAGGCAACATGAGATCCCAGCTCTGCAGTTTATAAACTGTGGCTTATGGTTGACTATTCTTCAAAATCAGGCGACCGGGACATGTTGACCGAGCTGGGACCCAGGGCGTGATGTGATTCAATTAGGTGGGATGTTAGCAAGAACTTGATTACACACCCAACAGATGCTGATCTCCGTCTGCACAGAAAAATCTGTTATAGTCTTCTCTGGGGTCCTTGGTGCTCTCTGAGCTTGGTTGTTTTCTCGCAGACGTTTCATTACCCAGCTAGGTAACATCATCAGTATTAGGAAAGAGTGGGGTTTGTGGACAAGAAGAAGAGGAGGAGGAGGACAATGACAACAATTGTGAGGTCCTTGGTGCTCTCTGAGCTTGGTTGTTTTCTCGCAGACGTTTCATTACCCAACTAGTTAACATCATCAGTACTAAGAAAGAGTGGGATTTCTGGACAAGAGGAGGAGGAGGGGGGGAGAAGAGGAGGAGGAAGAGAATTGTGGGGTCCTTGGTGCTCTCTGAGCTTGGTTGTTTTCTTGCAGACGTTTCATTACCCAACTAGGTAACATCAACAGTGCTAGGAGGAAGCGGCCTTTGCTCTTTATTTATATACTAGTAGCTTGCTTTGTCAGTGTTGATGGGAACAGTCTTGGTGGGTTCCTTGATTAGGCAGTTGTTTACTATTGGTTTGAGTTGGCAGTTCCCCGATTGGGGTATTGCTTACTGCTTGACTATTGGTTTGTATTAATCCCGAGATTAATCTCTGCTTATCTGGTGAAAAGGAATTAGTCTTCTCTGATTAAGAGAAACTAATAAGCCACTATGCTATAAGCAGAAACATTTTAAGCACTGAGAAAGCATCTGCTAGCCAAACACTTCTTTTAAAGATAGATTCTGTAGGTGTCTTTTCATTTTAAACCCTAGATTTTGGGGGAGGGGGACAATATTTCCTCAAACTGCAGGTCCATGGGGTCATCCTATAGCATCTTCAAAACAAGGCTTTATTTTTTCCAAGACGATTCATGCCTACGCTTGCAAAACCTAGACCGCCAACTCAGCAAGTCGACTGTTAATAACCATGACAGCTAACCTTTTAAACATGATGTCTTTCCTTCTCTGCTATTCTTCATTTATTCCAAGTTATAAATTCCAGAGCCTCAAACACTGTGTAAGTGCGGGAGAACCCATCAACCCTGAAGTGATGGACCAGTGGAAAACAGAAACCGGCCTGGACATTTATGAAGGCTACGGGCAGACGGAAACGGTAAGCTCCGCTATTTTGTCAAGGGAGGACCGTCTACTCATGAAAGTTTGAAGAGCTTTGAAAGCTCTTTGGGGAGAAAGGGGGCGTGTTGGTTAAAATCACCCCCCATCTTTCACTCTTTAATCTATTTCAAAATAGTAACAACCCATTACAAATCCAGTATCGGTGATGGGACTGGATGGAAAGGGTTGGCCTTTGAATTGTTCAACAAATTGTACCAATACAAAAGAATATTTATAGCTCAGGGTTGAACTGTGGGGTCCTTGGTGCTCTCTGAGCTTGGTGGTTTTCTTGCAGATGTTTCATGACCCAACTAGGGGACATCATCCGTGCTAGAAGGGAGTGGTATTTGTAGGGAGGAGGAGGAGGAGGAAGAAGAGGAGGAGGAAGAGGAGGAGGACAATGACTGTGGGGTCCTTGGTGCTCTCTGAGCTTGATTTTCTTGCAGACGTTTCATGACCCAACTAGGGAACATCATCCGTGCTAAAAGGGAGTAGAGTTTGTTTATATACTTACTCTGTCAGTGTTGGTGAGAGTGTTGCCTTCTTCTTGATAGTTCCTTGAGTTAGGATTAACTAACTGAGTTCCATGTATGTGATTGGGGTTTTTGAGGTTCTTCCTACGGCCTCCTCACTAGATATCCTAGACAGTGAACACATATTCCCCCACCCCACCTGAAAGGCTTCTACACAAATTTGCTTCTCAATCTGCTTTACTTTCCATCGCTGGAATTAGGTGCTGGTTTGTGGAACTTTCAAGGGAATGAAAATCAAGCCAGGATCTGTGGGGAAACCAACACCAGTCTATGATACTCAGGTACTTTGACTTTGTTCGTCAGAAGTTTGCAAAAGGGGATCACGTGATCCCGGGACGCTGCGATCGTCATAAATACGAGTCCGCGTCCCAATCTTGATCACGTGACCAGGGGGAGGCTGTGCAACGGTCGTAAGTGTGATACCACGGTCCTAAGTCCCCTTTTTTTTCAGTGCCGTTGTGTAACTTCGAGCAATCATTAAATGAACCGTTGTAACTTGAGGACCGCCTGTACTTGTTTGATAAAATTCATTTTGCTCTTTGTGCTTAAGGTAATAGATGAAAATGGTAACGTTTTGCCTCGTGGGATAGAAGGAGATCTCGCTCTCCGAATCAAACCAGCAAGACCATTTTGCCTCTTCGCTCAATATACGGTAAGTATTTATTGACCCTGGGCAAATCCCCCCCCCCCAAAAAAAGGCAAGGAAGTCATTTGAGGATAACCTGGTTCCGGAATCGTGGGAATGTTAGACCGTGGAGGAATGCTCACTAGTGTTGGAGATGTGATCCACCTTGGCTAGCATAAATACAAGCAGAATCTTGGAACAGAAATTTTCACCAGCCGGTATATCAATGACTCCTGTGGCATTTAGACAAAAACTCTTTGACACAAGACTGCTGTTAATTGCCTAACTATTCAGAAGCTCCCTTCCTGTGGATTGGATGTTTGCCAATTCAACCCCCCCCCCAAAAAAATGGGTTCCTTGGTGTTTCTTGTAGCAGTCTAATAATCTTCTTTGGAGATGTGGTGGCTCAGCAGTTAAAGACAGCTGGAAAGCTGACAGCTCAGTTTGAGAGCTGAGCTAAGTGCGACGGCGTGAGCTCGGGTTCCTTGCTGTAGCTCCTCTCCCCTAGCAGTTTGAAAGCATGCAAATGCGAGTAGATAAATAGGTACCACTTCAGTGAGAAGATAACAACGTTCTGTGCGTCTTGGTGGGCATATAGTCATGCTGGCTACACGACCACAGAAATTGTCTTCGGACAACACTGGCTCCCTCGGCTAGGAAACCGAGATAATCTTCTTTATAACAAAAAAAAAATAATCCAAAACAAATGGACATTAGTGCTGGGCAGTGACCTCAGACAATTCATAAAACATTTATCCGGCCATGAATTTTGGAACGATACAGTCTTAGAGATGGGTAAATGCATAATGTGGGTATTTATGGAAACTCATAAAGTACGTGATCTCCTCTGTCCAGTGTTGGGCAGAGTCACGTCTTTCTAAATAGTTGATCCCCTGTCCAGGATGATCTAGAAAGAACAGCTTCAACCATTCGCGGGGACTTTTACATCACTGGGGACCGAGGATATCAAGATGAGGAGGGCTACATCTGGCTGGTAGGACGGAGAGACGATGTAATCAATTCTGCTGGGTAAGTGTTCTGTCCCAGCCTACGTGAGTCCTTGTTGAGCTCACAAGGAGAAACCCCTCTTTCAACAAGGAGGCTGGAACCGCAGGAAAAAACCAACCCCCTTTTATTATTCACAGACCTGCGTCAATGTCCAAGGCAAACAAACACAGTTCACAGAAACTCGATCCTCAACACGAACGGCTGCCTTCGGCAACCAGCACCTCCCACACCTTCCCTTTTATTATGCAGCCAAGGCGTGGCTTCCTAATGCCTTCTCCTTTGCCTTGGAGCCGCCCCGTTGCATTCCTCTGTCTTACTCTCTTTTCTTGCTGGCGTTTTCGTGCATCCTGGATATCTCCCAGCTGTTCTTCATCACCGTCCAACTCAGGCTCCCAGCACAGCTGTGTCTCAGCCTGAGCGTGAGTAGAGGGGCCAGGCTCCTCGTCAGACTGTAAGCCTTGGAGCTTCTCAGAGCCTTCCTCTAATTCTGATATCACTCCAGGCCCCTCCTCCTCCTCCTCTGATTCCTCAGACTCAGCTGCCGGGTCCACTGGCTGGCGAGGAATCACAACAGTAAGGTTAATTCAACCGCGCCCCAATTGTACAACACTTTTCTTGAAGTTTTTCAAAGATCAAAGTGATTCAATTCTTTTTTCCCCCAAAGATACCGCATCGGACCCTTTGAAGTGGAGAATGCTTTGATAGAACACGATGCGGTGGTTGAAGCGGCCGTCGTCAGCAGCCCAGACCCTATTCGAGGCGAGGTAAAGAAGGCTGAACTTATCGGCAGTCCTTGACTTAAGATCATAATTGAGCCCAAAACCTCTGTCGCTAAGTGAGACATTTGTTAAGTGAGATTTGCCCCATTTTACAACCTTTCTCGCCACAGCTGTTCAGGGAACCACTTCAGTTGTTAAGTGAATCTGGCTTTGCTTGTCAGGGCAAGAAACAATCTCCAGATTTTTATTTTTATTTTTTAAAAAAAGTTCAAGCTTTTAATGTTGGAAAGTACAAGCGACTGGGCCCAAGACCCTTCATTTGGCACTTTTCAGCTACTGTGGTACTACTAGAAATCCCCCATTTTATAAACTGCCTGCGTTTTTCAAAATGACATTCTCCTGATCAAATTACTTACATTCAAGGTGGTGAAAGCCTTTGTAGTTTTGGCCCCTGAATACATTTCCCATGACCAAGAAGCCTTGATTAAGGAACTACAGGACTACGTCAAGACGGTCACTGCCCCATACAAGTACCCTAGAAAGGTAAGCTGTGATTTTGATCACCACAATGTAAAAAAGATGTTGAGACTCTAGAAAGAGTGCAGAGAAGAGCAACAAAGATGATCAGGGGACTGGAGGCTAAAGCATATAAGGAACGGTTGCTGGAATTGGGGATGTCTAGTTTAACGAAGAGAAGGACGAGGGGGGACATGATAGCAGTCTTCCAGTATCTCAGGGGCTGCCCCAAAGAAGAGGGAGTCAAGCTGTTCTCCAAAGCACCAGAAGGCAGGACAAGAAGCAACGGATGGAAGCTAATCAAGGAGAGAAGCAACCTGGAACTAAAGAGGAATTTCCTGACAGTCAGAACAGTTAACCAGTGGAATGACTTGCCTCCAGAAGTTGTGGGTGCTCCATCACTGGAAGTTTTTAAGAAGAGACTGGACAGCCATTTGTCTGAAATGGTATAGGGTTTCCTGCCTGAACTGGGGGTTGGACTAGATGATCTCCAAGGTCCCTTCCAACATTATAATAATAATAACTATTATTATTATTATTATTATTATTATTATTAGTAGTAGTAGTAGTAGTAGTAGTAGTAGTAGTAGTAGTAGTAATCATCGCACAGTCAGCCAGATGTTCAGACTGGATTTGACATTTTTGTCTACCTATCAAGTCCTTACCTTTTGTGTACTGAGCGGTTTACAGATTAGGAATAGGGTGATTATTTTAACAGATGCAAGCTGAATGCCCCTTATACCCAGGAGAAAGACTGCGTCAGACGTATTTCTTTTCGTTTCGCACTTTTGCAATGTCTGAATTTATTCCAGCTGTATCTACCAACACGTCCTTCCTTTTTTTTTTTGCCAACCCTCATTTCTGTTCTTGCCCAACAGATGGAGTTTGTTCCACATTTGCCAAAGACGATCAGTGGGAAAATCAGAAGAAACGAATTGCGCAAGAAAGAATGGGAACAAGCGTAGAATTCCTCATCTGTTTACTTTCTGAGTGAGCAATCGTTCCAGGAATAAAAGCCTGTTGCGTTACTCTCCAAATTTAGAAATTTTGAGTCCCGAAAGCTTCACATTGGCGGTCCCTTCGTGGGCCTGTTTGTCCAACTAGCTCTCCTCTGCTTACTTATCAGCGGTTGAACTTCGTACAAAACCCTAACCGTAGCTGGCCAGGTTAAGCAAAGATGCAACTCTGCTTCCAGATGTCGATTTTTCAGACAGAAAGAACACAGAGTACCCTGGAGAAAGACCCAAAAAACGGTATGTTTCACAGTCCAGATGTTAGCAGCATCATAAACCTACAGGGAGCTGCATGACCAAGCCAGATACGTAAACAATACATAAATCAGAACATTCTAACATTTCTAATCCCTAAAGGACAAAAGTCCATACGAGAACACAGAGACATTTTGACCAGCTCAATTAAGCAATGATAGTGCGGGTTTTTCAAAGCTAGGTTACCGAAGAAAGTAGAACTGCAATTTGTTACGGTAGAACCGTGTTTCTCAACCTTGACCACTTGAAGAGAGATGGACTTCAACTCCCAGAATTCCCCAGCCAGCCGAGCTCCACAGTCAAATAGACCCCCTTTGAAGTTCAAAGGTTGAACGTGGCCGGCTTTCAAGCTAAGCTATTAATATTGTTGGACTTATCCTTTTCACAGTTACCTAACACGCTGTAAAAGTCAAGCCATCAATAGAAAGAAAGAAAAAGCAAGGATTTGATTTTAACTGCATGCATTTCAGCTAATTACCAAATTCCAAATTAAAATAATTTCATCAACGAGACCATATCGTCCCCTTTATCTTTTGAATGCTGAAAGCTTAATCTCCATGGTATGTTTTATAGTTCAGGCAATGTTCCCACCATGCCAGCTTCTTCTGAATTCCTGAAAGAATCTGTACGTGTCATTCCGTTCACCAGATTTTTATGATCTCCTGACTGCGCAATGTTTCAGATATAATTGGGAAACGGCGCTTCACAATACCCCGGCACCTTGTCTGTGATTCATTAAAGCAGCTGCATCCTTTTCTGGAATTTTATGCCTGCTGTGCTATGGAAATTTGGGACAGTGAAAAAGCATGCTGAATACAACTCCAAATAAATCAGTTTTCATGCCGTATTAAAATGAACAAACTTCACTTAATTTTTTGGGGTGGGAGGGGCAGAAAGAGTTCGTTTTATTTCATTTCTCAGAATCAAGGATATTCTTAAATGAACGTTTAAAAGCATGATGCAAGTTTTACAAGCCAGTTCTTTTAAAAAAACAACAAAAACCATTGCTCAGCAGTCAGGCTTACTGATTTAAAGTATAGACAACACAATTCCTAAAAAGAAATAATAATAATCAAACTTAGGAGCCTAGAACACAGAAGAGAAAGAACACACTTAAAAGACAAGACAATTTGTTGCACTGCATTCAGACGAGACCAGATGCTCAATGCACACACAACTTCGGCGATGCTTCTAATTATACTTTGTAGAAAAGAAAAACTAACTTTCCAGAGGTGAAATACTCAATTTCCCCAGTAAAAAGCAGGGGGGAAAAATCTGCTTAGTTTCGCATGGAAGGCCGGAGACGCAGGCACTTAACATTTCCCAGGGAGGGGTCCTGAGTTTTTAAAGGCTTTAAGCCCCCAGCCTCTAAAGTCAAAGTCGGAAGGGCCATTTTCTCCTTTATAAGCGAATGTTCCCATCGAAAATAGTTGCAGCCTTTCGTGTTCCTTTCGCATTTTCTCACCGGGCAGCTGTAAAATCCTTTGCCCTGATTAGGGCCACCGTTTGAAACATTCAACCTTCTAGCTCTTCGGCCACACCGGCAGAGCGGAGGGGTCATCCTCCCGGTTTCGGCTGCCCTAAAAGCTGGGTTGAGATTGCCCGAAGAGCTTAAGAGGGCAGGAGAGACGCCGGACGGATTTGCCCTGGGCAACTGGAAGCTGCTCGATGTCGGGTTCCCGTCCTTGTAGATTCTGAACGATGGTTTTTTGGTCGGAGGCAAAGATTTGGGGCTGGAGGGTTTCCTTTTGATGGCCTCGGTTGAAGATGCCGGATGATTTCTATCCGGTGGGCTGGGGGAAGATGCCTCTGTCGTCACAACAGGGAGTTTAAACGTAGAAGCATCCGAAGTTTTGTTTGGCGCTCTGCCCGCGTTATAAATAGTCGTATTTGGACTCTTGTAGACAATAGATTTTGAGAGCTCTGTGTTCGGAGGAGCACCTTCCATATTTTCAGCTGCCCAGTTCATTAGTTCGTTCCTATCTTCTGTCGCTAATGCCCTCTTGGGTGGAGGGTTATCTTTTGATGGCAAGGATTCTGGATCTGGGCCGTCTTCCTTTTCTGGAAGGATGGCCACGTCCTCCCAATCGGCCAACAAAGATAGACACTCTGGAGTGGTGCTGATGTCGGTCTCGGAAATGTTGACGGTGGAAAGAGTCGTGGGGACCAAAACTAGCCCTTGATTGGGTCTAGAAAGGTTTGAAATTAGATGCCCCTTGTCCCCCCAACCTGAAGGTCTATAGCAGGGGTGCTGAAGATTACCCAGAGGCCAATGGAGTCTTCCCAAGGACGAGGTTAGGTTCTCTGTGGTTCTACAAAGTCCATCAGACTTTTTGCTGTTTCTAGACATAAGACGTGGGTCCTCAAACAAGCTGACGTGAACCGTCTCTTGCGATGGATCTTCCTCTTTCTTTTTGATTTCTGGAGGAACTTCATTTTCCCTTTCACCCAAAGGTGATGCTTTGACAAGAGGGTTGATTCCCAAAGGGCCACCATGGGTGGGTTTCTCACCCCCAACTCTGGCGATGGAACACTTTGCTGGAGGTGCCTGAGGATTCCATAAGCAAAGGAGGTCAACCCTCCCTCAAGTGGCCAGCGTAGCTTCAAACAAGTTCCCAAGTCAAAGCTCTGTCCACAAAAATCTTATTTGGGTTCAACGTTCCTCAGTCACAGGTGCCAAGAAGAGAATCCACTGACCTTATCGATGGATTTTGTGATTTTCATTACACACCCGTCGCGAATCATCTTCCAAGCGAGGCGAGCAGTATTCCGAGAATCATCCAGTCCTACGGGAAACAGGAAGTGTCACTGCTAGTAGAAAGGACTAATAAACTTATTTGTCCTTACTGCTCATCCTGGCATCCTAAGTTAGCCTAATAATACCTGTAGCAATTTCCAAAGCAGGTCCCTCTTCACCTCCTATAGGTAGGCCTCGACTTACAACAGCTCAAAATTATAACACCAATGAAAAAAAAGGACTTCTGATCGTTTTTCACATGACCGCTGCAGCATCCATCCGTGGTCACGTGATCAAAATCCAGATGCTTGGCAACTGACTCATAGTTATGACGGTGGCAGTGGCCCCTGTGATCCCCTTTTGCGACCTTCTGACAAAGTCAGTGGGGAAGCAAGATCCATTCAACAACTGTGCTACTAACTTAACAACCACAGCAATTCCCTTACCAGCTTAGCAACAGAAATTTTGGGGTCCATTTTGGTCCAGGACTTCCTGTATTTAATTTCTACATGGAACGTAAACTCAGTTCTGGAGGAACGGAGGAAGACAATCTTAGGTCCATTTGTCTATGGAGGTTCTCCGTCATCCAGGTCATGGTTGTCCCCAAGGTGCTTTTTCAAGAGACAACTGGACTTTTGTTTTTCTTTGAAGATGTTTCGCTTCTCACCCACGAAGCTTCTTCAGCTCTGACCGACAACAACCTTCCATTCCCCACCATCCAGTCAGAGCTGAAGAAGCTTCTTCAGCTGAAGAAGCGAAATATCTTCAAAGAAAAACAAGAAAATCCAGTTGCCTCTTGAAAAAAAAACCTTAGGTTCACTTGATTACTTTTAGTTAACAGATCTCATACACAAAGGTGATCAGAATGGACTACATTGTCTGGGACTTTAATATAGAACGTTACTTGCTGGCAACGTCATAGATTAAAGTCCAGTTAAGTTGTATTGAACCCCTGTTCATTTTAACTCATTTCCGTACTTGCAGGCCCTTTCCTGCATAAAAACAAGACCCACATCCCTGTTTTTTCAGCAGTTCCTTGACATAGGTACATATACTCGCTTACCGGAGTGCTCCCGTCCTTGAAAAAGGATGCCCACGTCTTTCAGTGCCCCATTTAAACCTTGCGGCCTCCTAGAGTAAAAGTTCTAAGAAACAAAAGGTGAAAATAAAACCCTCGTTATATCTGCCATTTTGCTCAATTAAATGTAAATTGCTGAGGGCTCTTTAAGCCAGTATTTTCTCAGCCTTGGCAACTTAAAGAGAGCTGGATGTACCTGGATTAAATTGTACGCACCCCCAGAGCCCCTCTGGGAGAGAGATGGAGCGTTAAGAAGTGTGAAATAGAAACCAACAAATAAATAAAATGCATATTTTGTTGTCGTGATCACTACCAGAGTCAAATACCCTCACCTTATACGTGGCCCGTAAGTCAATCCAAGAATTTAAAATATCAGGCTTCCGTAGCTGTTTTCTTTTACATTCGTAGTGCAGGCAAATTCCCAGGTCCCAGTCTGCATAAAAACAAATGTTCATAAAGGTTTCCAGTTTCCCGATCGTTCCCCCTCCATCGTTTTTCAGCCTCGGTGTGAAATTTTCTTTTTGTGCAACTGTCATGATTTTGTGCGATAGAAACGTGAGGATCAAAAGCAAGAGAAGCTATTTATTTAGCCACCTATCCTGTGCAGTCCGGTTGTGAATCTGTCCAAGTTTATAGCATAATGGAAAACTAAATAAAACCTGCCAATTCTGGGGGTTTGAGTCTGGAATTCACAAAGCAGTAGTTAGGAATGTAAATTATTCATTCCCGTTTTGATGGAGAGCACCTATAGTTCTAATGTCAGATCATGCAATGTCTGCAGGGCCAAAGGATTTCAGATTCCCTCAAGCAAGTTTCTAGTCCTTAACGATGGTGGGAAAGCCATGAAAATATACAGCAAAGAGGGTACACGAGCCAGGGGGAATCCAGCAGGATTTTCACGAGCACCATGTGACAGGGTAGAAAAATAGCTGACAATGGGTGGTCTCAAAAACCTAAGCAGAAGACAGACCTGGTTATTATTTGAATAGTCCAGAGTGCTACAGGGAGTCAGAAATCAAAAAGCATAACAAAATAGCCATTTT